AGAGACAGCAGTGACATCACTGGGGGTCAGTCACGTCACAGGGGACTGTTGAAAAGAAAGGGACAGCCATGATGTCACTGCCATCGGTCAATGGTGCCACGGCTCAGCACAGTAGTGACATCACAGAGATAGCAGGACATCATTGGGGACATTGTTGACATCACAGGGGACAGTGATGACACCATAGAGACATCAGTGGCATCAACAGGGGCATCTGTGACATCACAGTCAACATGGGTGACTTCACAAGGCAAGGGATGACATCGCAGAGAGACCAGTGACATCATCGGTTACACTGGAGACCAGTGACCTCACAGGGAACTGGTGATAACAAAAGGACAGTCATCACAGGGCTATCGGTGACATCACAGGGGACCGTGGTGATACCACAGAGACACGTGTGACACAACTGGGGATACTGGTGACTTCACAAGGCCAGGGGTGACATCACAGAGGTACCAGTGACATAATCGGGGACACTGGTGACATCACAGGGGACAGTGGTGACATCACAGAGACAGCAGGGACATAATTGCGGACCAGTGACATCAGAGTGACAACAGAGGGACAGCAGTGATGTCACAGGGACATTGGTGACATCAAAGGGGTCTGGTGATTTCACAGGGACATTGGTCACATCATAGGGACACGGTGGCACTGCTGGGACAGCAGTGACAGCATTGGAGACCAGTGACGTCACAGGGAACTGCTTACAGCAATGGGAAAGCCGTGATGTCACAGGGACATTCGTGACATCACAGGGGATGGTGGTGACATTACAGGGTCAGCAGTGACATCATTGTGGACCAGTGACATCACAGAAGACTGGTGACAACAAAGGGGCAGCTGTGATCTCCCAAGGAAATCAGTGATGTCACTGGGGACATCAGTGACTTCACAAGGACAGCGGTGACATTGCAGAGACACCAGTGACGTCATCGGTAACACTGGTGACATCACAGATACATTGGTGACATCATTTGGGACCAATGACATCACATGGGCCTGCTGATAACAAAGGGACAGCTGTGATGTCACAGGGCTATCAGTGACATCACAAGGGACAAGTGACATCACAGGGGATTGGTGACAACAAAGGGACAGCTGTGATATAACGTGGATGTCGGCGGAGGAGCTTCCAGAACAAACTGCACACAAATCAGGATGATTTACACAAATGTTCCGCTTTATTTACATAACCCAACCTCTTATATACTTTCACTGCCCCCCGAGCCGTGATCACTTTCAAACTATTGGTTATTTGCTGTAACCCACGAACCAAGCGTGCATTACTGACACACTGCCTATTGGTTGCACACAGGTGTCCATGTGACATGAAGACATTGTTTTTCTCCTAAAACTCCTCCTTATTTTTGTCCCAGGTTTCTCTTTGTTTACATTCCTGCAGTCTGGTATCACTGCTCCTGTATCTTTCCACTGCCTGCAAAGAGGCTTCTGGCTATGTCAGGGGCAGGTCTAACTGAGGCCAATTAGTATGATTTGTCCATAGTGTGTCTTTTATCAGCTCAGCACTCCACACATGGACATCAGTGACATCACTGGGGACATCGGTGACTTCACAAGGACAAGGGTGACATCACAGAGACACCTGTGACATCATCAGTGACACTGGTGACAGCACAGGGACAACCATGAAATCACTGTGAGTACCAGGTTCACAAGGATACGTCTGGAATAAAGACAAGTACAACAGTCATTCAAACACTACAAAATATCTTTTATTGTAGTGAGAGTTAAAAAAACTATTAGCAAAGAGAATCAAAAGTTAAAAAGAATACAAACAACTCCCTACTTTATCTATTGGTGTTCATACAGTAGTACGAACAGCCTCTAATAAAGTATTAGTACAAGGGGAATTAAAGGGATACAATATTAGCTAGTAAAAAGGGAATTAAAGGGATAAAAAAAGGATATAAAATGTTTGCTTTCCCTGCTGTTACCTACCAATAAACTGTGCTCACCTGCACAGACAGGCCAGGCCTACCAGGCTCTGCAGGGCTGGTCGGTGCCCGTGCTTGGCGGGTGTCCCCGCGGAGCAGCACAGTGTGGATGGAAGGATGAGCATCGCTCCCCCCAGCAGTGCTGACACCCCATTCCATCAGCTCTACATTACACTACGGAGG